CGTCTCACCGTGTGTGCCTCACCGTGTCTCACCGTGTCTCACCGTGTGTCTCACCGTGTCTCACTGTGTCTCACCGTGCGCGTCTCACCGTCAAGGCCTATGATACCATCAGTAGGCCAGGGCTCTGGGTTGTTCTTCGTGCTTTTGGAGTCCCTGACCCTCTTGCTCACGATCATTAAGGACCTTCATGATGGTGAGCGGGCCCGGGTAAAACTACGTGGCCGGGAGTCAGAGCCATTCCCTGTACACCTTGGGGTGCGACAGGGATGTCCTCTGGCTCCCACATTATTTAACATCTATTTTGACCACGTAGTTCGTGAAGCCTTCAATAGCTGTACCGGGGGAATCTCCATTTGGTACAGATATAATGGGAGGCTGATCGATGCCCGGGTGCGGTCAAGGGATGGCTCCCTATTGCTCAACCACGTTATGTATGCCGATTATTTGGTAATAGCTGCTCATTCAGAGGAGGAGTTGGAGACACTGCTGCTGAGACTGGAGCGTGCCACTAAGAGATGGGGCCTTACCATCAGCCCCACCAAAACTAAGCACCTGCCTGGGTATTTTGTACCATCGGACACTCCACCCCCACAACTCCCAATCGGTGATGGGGCAGTTGTGGAGAGAGTGGAGAGTTTCCCATACCTGGGCAGTGTGCTTATGACCGGCTCCAGTTTAACAGCAGAGGTCTCACTCCGAATCAGTCGAGCGGCAATATCTTTTCATCGGTTGCGTAACGCTGTGTGGAAGCTACCTGGTCTGTCGCTCCGCACTAAGCTTCAGGCCTTCTCGACCACGGTCATTCCCTCCCTTCTCTACGCTTGCGAAACGTGGACCCCCCCTAATGGAACATCTTCGCCAGTTAGAAACATTTAGGCTGGCCTGCCTACGATCCATCCTGGGTTTAACCAGACTGGATTGTGTGAGGAGCTCACAAATCCTTGAGAGATCTGGGCAAGGTCCCATCGGTGAGCTCCTCCGGCAGGCAAGGCTGCGTTGGCTGGGTCATGTAGCCCGCATGCCCAGCCACCGCATGCCGAAACAGCTTTTGTTCGGCCGGATCGAGGGGGCTAAACGGGCGCGGCACGGGCTAGAGAAGAGATGGAGTGACGTGGTACAGGAGGACGTGGAGCTGAGTGGACTTGCCGATGACCGGTACCAGCGGTGTCAAGATCGGCCTCTGTGGAGGAGGCTCGTGAAGGATGCTACTGGGCAGTTGGAGGCAGTCGCCCTCCAACAACAACGGAGGGTGGAGGAGCGACGCTCACAACAACGAGCGGAGCGCCGGGTGGCTAAAGCGCAGCAGGTTGGCACAGTAGGGGGCACAGGTGGTGCATCAGCCGGTCATCTCAGTCATCTCAGTCAGTCGACCCGTGGCACCTGCTGGGTCTGCCCCGTGACCTCCTGCCCGCGGGCGTTCGACACTTCACGTGATAGCCTCAAGGTGCACCTAGCCTGGCACAAGCGTCGTGGTGACGTCACCGCCACTTAGTGGCGAATGGCGGTGGTTGTTGTGGTCTCACCGTGTCTCACCGTGTCTCACCGTGTGTGTGTCTCACCGTGTCTCACCGTGTCTCACCGTGTCTCACCGTGTGTGTGTCTCACCGTGTCTCATCGTGTCTCACCGTGTGTCTCACCGTGTCTCTCCGTGTGTGTGTCTCACTGTGTGTGTGTCTCACCGTGTCTCTCCGTGTCTCGCCGTGTGTGTGTCTCACTGTGTGTGTGTCTCACCGTGTGTGTCTCACCGTGTCTCATCGTGTCTCACCGTGTGTCTCACCGTGTCTCTCCGTGTGTGTGTCTCACTGTGTGTGTGTCTCACCGTGTCTCTCCGTGTCTCGCCGTGTGTGTGTCTCACTGTGTGTGTGTCTCACCGTGTGTGTCTCACCGTGTCTCACCGTGTCTCACTGTGGGCGTGTCTCACTGTGTCTCACCGTGTCTCACTGTGTGTGTGTCTCCCCGTGTCTCCCCGTGTCTCTCCGTGTGTGTGTCTCCCCGTGTCTCCCCCGTGTCTCACCCCCCAGGTGTCCGTGGCTGACTGAGCGTGTCTCCCCGTGTCTCTCCGTGTCTCACCGTGTCTCACCGTGTCTCACCGTGTCTCCCCCCCAGGTGTCCGTGGCTGACTGAGCGTGTCTCACCGTGTGTGTCTTACCGTGTCTCCCCGTGTCTCCCCGTGTCTCACCGTGTCTCACCGTGTCTCACTGTGTGTGTGTCTCACCGTGTCTCACCCCCAGGTGTCCGTGGCTGACTGAGCATGTCTCCCCGTGTCTCCCCGTGTCTCCCCGTGTGTGTGTCTCACCGTGTCTCCCCGTGTCTCACTGTGTGTGTGTCTCCCCGTGTCTCACCCCCCAGGTGTCCGTGGCTGACTGAGCGTGTCTCCCCGTGTGTGTGTCTCCCCGTGTCTCACCGTGTGTGTCTCACCGTGTCTCCCCGTGTCTCCCCGTGTCTCCCCGTGTCTCACCCCCCAGGTGTCCGTGGTTGACTGAGCGTGTCTCACCGTGTGTGTCTCCCCGTGTCTCACCGTGTCTCACCGTGTCTCCCCGTGTCTCACTGTGTGTGTGTCTCCCTGTGTCTCACCGTGTCTCCCCGTGTCTCACCGTGTCTCCCCCAGGTGTCCTTGGCCGACTGAGCGTGTCTCCCCGTGTCTCACCGTGTCTCCCCGTGTCTCACCGTGTCTCTCCGTGTCTCACCGTGTCTCCCCGTGTCTCACCGTGTCTCTCCGTGTCTCCCCGTGTCTCACCGTGTCTCACCGTGTCTCCCCGTGTCTCACCGTGTCTCTCCGTGTCTCACCGTGTCTCCCCGTGTCTCACCGTGTCTCCCCGTGTCTCTCCCCGTGTCTCCCCGTGTCTCCCCGTGTCTCACCGTGTCTCCCCGTGTCTCACCGTGTCTCCCCCAGGTGTCCTTGGCTGACTGAGCGTGTCTCCCCGTGTCTCCCCTTGTCTCCCCGTGTCTCCCCGTGTCTCACCCCCCAGGTGTCCTTGGCTGACTGAGCGTGTCTCCCCGTGTCTCCCCTTGTCTCCCCGTGTCTCCCCGTGTCTCACCCCCCAGGTGTCCGTGGCTGACTGAGCGTGTCTCACCGTGTGTGTCTCCCCGTGTCTCACCGTGTCTCACCGTGTCTCCCCGTGTCTCACTGTGTGTGTGTCTCCCTGTGTCTCACCGTGTCTCCCCGTGTCTCACCGTGTCTCCCCCAGGTGTCCTTGGCCGACTGAGCGTGTCTCCCCGTGTCTCACCGTGTCTCCCCGTGTCTCACCGTGTCTCTCCGTGTCTCACCGTGTCTCCCCGTGTCTCACCGTGTCTCTCCGTGTCTCCCCGTGTCTCACCGTGTCTCACCGTGTCTCCCCGTGTCTCACCGTGTCTCTCCGTGTCTCACCGTGTCTCCCCGTGTCTCACCGTGTCTCCCCGTGTCTCTCCCCGTGTCTCCCCGTGTCTCCCCGTGTCTCACCGTGTCCCCCCGTGTCTCACCGTGTCTCCCCCAGGTGTCCTTGGCTGACTGAGCGTGTCTCCCCGTGTCTCCCCTTGTCTCCCCGTGTCTCCCCGTGTCTCACCCCCCAGGTGTCCTTGGCTGACTGAGCGTGTCTCCCCGTGTCTCCCCTTGTCTCCCCGTGTCTCCCCGTGTCTCACCCCCCCGGTGTCCGTGGCTGACTGAGCGTGTCTCACCGTGTGTGTCTCCCCGTGTCTCCCCGTGTCTCACCCCCCAGGTGTCCGTGGCTGACTGAGCGTGTCTCACCGTGTCTCCCCGTGTGTGTCTCCCCGTGTCTCACCGTGTCTCACCGTGTCTCACCGTGTCTCACCGTGTCTCCCCGTGTCTCCCCTTGTCTCCCCGTGTCTCCCCTTGTCTCCCCGTGTCTCCCCCTGTCTCCCCGTGTCCCCCCCCCAGGTGTCCGTGGCTGACTAAGCGTGTCTCCCCTTGTCTCCCCGTGTCTCCCCGTGTCTCACCGTGTCTCCCCCAGGTGTCCTTGGCTGACTGAGCGTGTCTCACCGTGTCTCCCCTTGTCTCCCCGTGTCTCACCGTGTCTCCCCGTGTCTCACCGTGTCTCCCCGTGTGTGTGTCTCCCCGTGTCTCCCCGTGTCTCACCGTGTCTCCCCGTGTCTCACCGTGTCTCCCCCAGGTGTCCGTGGCTGACTGAGCGTGTCTCCCCATGTGTGTCTCACCGTGTCTCACCGTGTCTCACCGTGTCTCCCCGTGTCTCCCCGTGTCTCTCCGTGTCTCACCGTGTCTCCCCGTGTCTCCCCCCCAGGTGTCCGTGGCTGACTGAGCGTGTCTCCCCGTGTGTGTGTCTCCCCGTGTCTCACCGTGTCTCACCGTGTCTCCCCGTGTCTCACCCCCAGGTGTCCGTGGCTGACTGAGCGTGTCTCCCCGTGTCTCCTCTTGTCTCACCGTGTCTCACCGTGTCTCCCCCAGGTGTCCGTGGCTGACTGAGCGTGTCTCACCGTGTCTCCCCGTGTCTCACCGTGTCTCTCCGTGTGTGTCTCACCGTGTCTCCCCGTGTCTCCCCGTGTCTCTCCCCGTGTCTCCCCGTGTCTCACCGTGTCTCCCCGTGTCTCCCCGTGTCTCACCGTGTCTCACCGTGTCTCCCCGTGTCTCCCCGTGTCTCCCCCAGGTGTCCTTGGCTGACTGAGCGTGTCTCCCCGTGTGTGTCTCACAGTGTCTCCCCGTGTCTCACCGTGTCTCCCCGTGTCTCACCGTGGCTCCCCCCCAGGTGTCCTTGGCTGACTGAGCGTGTCTCCCCGTGTCTCCTCTTGTCTCCCCGTGTCTCACCGTGTCTCACCCCCCAGGTGTCCGTGGCTGACTGAGCGTGTCTCCCCGTGTCTCCCCGTGTGTGTCTCACCGTGTCTCACCGTGTCTCACCGTGTCTCCCCGTGTCTCCTCTTGTCTCCCCGTGTCTCACCGTGTCTCACCCCCCAGGTGTCCGTGGCTGACTGAGCGTGTCTCCCCGTGTCTCCCCGTGTGTGTCTCACCGTGTCTCACCGTGTCTCACCGTGTCTCACCGTGTCTCCCCCAGGTGTCCGTGGCTGACTGAGCGTGTCTCCCCGGCCGTGCCCGTCTACAATGGAGTCGTCTTCCTCTTCGTGGTCGCCAACTTCATCATGGCCACGTTCATGGACCCCGGCGTCTTCCCCCGCGGTCAGCACCCCCACCGCCTAGGGGGTAGCCTAGGGGGTAGTCTAAGGGTAGTCTAGGGGGTGGTCTAGGGGGTGGTCTAGGGGTGGTCTAGGGGGTGGTCTAGGGGTAGTCTAGGGGTAGTGTAGGGGTGGTCTAGGGGTGGTCTAAGGGGTGGTCTAGGGGTGGTCTAGGGGTAGTCTAGGGGGTGGTCTAGGGGGTAGTCTAGGGGTAGTCTAGGGGGTGGTCTAGGGGGTGGTCTCGGGGGTGGTCTAGGGGTGGTCTAGGGGGTGGTCTAGGCGTGGTCTAGGGGTAGTGTAGGGGTGGTCTAGGGGTGGTCTAGGGGTGGTCTAGGGGGTGGTCTAGGGGTGGTCTAGGGGGTGGTCTAGGGGGTAGTCTACGGGTGGTCTAGGGGTAGTCTAGGGGTGGTCTAGGGGGTAGTCTAGGGGGTAGTCTAGGGGTGGTCTAGGGGGTGGTCTAGGGGTGGTCTAGGGGTGGTCTAGGGGGTGGTCTAGGGGGTGGTCTAGGGGTGGTCTAGGGGGTGGTCTAGGGGATGGTCTAGGGGTAGTCTAGGGGGTGGTCTAGGGGTGGCCTAGGGGGTGGTCTAGGGGGTAGTCTAGGGGTGGTCTAGGGGGTGGTCTAGGGGGTGGCCTAGGGGGTAGTCTAGGGGGTGGTCTAGGGGGTAGTCTAGGTGGTGGTCTAGGGGGTAGTCTAGGGGTGGTCTAGGGGGTGGTCTAGGGGGTGGTCTAGGGGGTGGTCTAGGGGGTAGTCTAGGGGGTGGTCTAGGTGGTGGTCTAGGGGTAGTCTAGGGGGTAGTCTAGGGGGTAGTCTAGGGGGTGGCCTAGGGGGTAGTCTAGGGGGTGGTCTAGGGGGTAGTCTAGGGGGTGGTCTAGGTGGTGGTCTAGGGGTGGTCTAGGGGGTAGTCTAGGGGTAGTCTAGGGGTAGTGTAGGGGTGGTCTAGGGGTAGTGTAGGGGGTAGTCTAGGGGGTAGTCTAGGGGGTAGTCTAGGGGTGGTCTAGGGGGTGGTCTAGGGGGTTGTCTAGGGGGTGGTCTAGGGGTGGTCTAGGGGTAGTCTAGGGGGTGGTCTAGGGGGTGGTCTAGGGGGGTGGTCTAGGGGGTGGTCTAGGGGTAGTCTAGGGGGTGGTCTAGGGGTAGTCTAGGGGTAGTCTGGTGGGTAGTCTAGGGGGTGGTCTAGGGGGTGGTCTAGGGGGTGGTCTAGGGGGTAGTCTAGGGGGTGGTCTAGGGGGTAGTCTAGGGGTGGTCTAGGGGGTAGTCTAGGGGGTGGTCTAGGGGTAGTCTAGGGGTGGTCTAGGGGTAGTCTAGGGGTAGTCTAGGGGTAGTCTAGGGGTAGTCTAGGAGTAGTCTAGGGGGTGGTCTAGGGGGTGGTCTAGGGGTGGTCTAGGGGGTAGCCTAGGGGGTGGTCAAGGGGATAGTCTAGGGGGTAGTCTAGGGGTAGTCTAGGGGTGGTCTAGGGGGTAATCTAGGGGTAGTCTAGGGGGTAGTCTAGGGGTAGTCTAGGGGGTAGTCTGGGGGTAGTCTAGGGGGTAGCCTAGGGGGTAGCCTAGGGGGTAGTCTAGGGGTAGTCTGGGGGTGGCCTAGGGGGTGGTCTAGGGGGTAGTCTGGGGGTAGTCTACGGGGTGGTCTAGGGGGTGGTCTAGGGGGTAGTCTAGGGGGTAGTCTAGGGGGTAGCCTAGGGGGTGGCCTAGGGGGTGGTCTAGGGGGTGGCCTAAGGGGTGGTCTAGGGGTAGTCTAGGGGTAGTCTAGGGGGTGGTCTAGGGGTGGTCTAGGGGTGGTCTAGGGGGTAGTCTAGGGGGTGGTCAAGGGGATAGTCTAGGGGGTAGTCTAGGGGTAGTCTAGGGGTGGTCTAGGGGGTGGTCTAGGGGGTGGTCTAGGGGGTGGTCTAGGGGTAGTCTAGGGGGTAGTCTAGAGGTAGTCTAGGGGTAATCTAGGGGTAGTCTAGGGGGTAGTCTAGGGGTAGTCTAGGGGGTTGTCTGGGGGTAGTCTAGGGGGTAGCCTAGGGGGTAGCCTAGGGGGTAGTCTAGGGGTAGTCTGGGGGTGGCCTAGGGGGTGGTCTAGGGGGTAGTCTGGGGGTAGTCTAGGGGGTGGTCTAGGGGGTGGTCTAGGGGGTAGTCTAGGGGGTAGTCTAGGGGGTAGCCTAGGGGGTGGCCTAGGGGGTGGTCTAGGGGGTGGCCTAAGGGGTGGTCTATGGGTAGTCTAGGGGTAGTCTAGGGGGTGGTCTAGGGGTGGTCTAGGGGGTAGTCTAGGGGTAGTCTAGGGGGTGGTCTAGGGGGTGGTCTAGGGGGTAGTCTAGGGGTGGTCTAGGGGGGTAGTCTAGGGGGTGGTCTAGGGGTAGTCTAGGGGGGGTAGTCTAGGGGGTGGTCTAGGGGTAGTCTAGGGGGTAGTTAAGGGGGGTAGTCTAGGGGGTGGGGAAGGGGTAGTCATGGGGGTGGTCTAGGGGGTAGTCTAGGGGTAGTCTAGGGGGGTAGTCTAGGGGGTAGTCTAGGGGGTAGCCTAGGGGGTGGCCTAGGTGGTGGTCTAGGGGGTAGTCTAGGGGTAGTCTAGGGGTGGTCTAGGGGGTAGTCTAGGGGGTGGTCTAGGGGGTGGCCTAGGGGTGGTCTAGGGGGTAGTCTAGGGGTAGTCTAGGGATAGTGTAGGGGTGGTCTAGGGGTAGTGTAGGGGGTAGTCTAGGGGGTAGTCTAGGGGGTAGTCTAGGGGTGGTCTAGGGGGTGGTCTAGGGGGTGGTCTAGGGGGGTTGTCTAGGGGTGGTCTAGGGGTGGTCTAGGGGTAGTCTAGGGGGTAGTCTAGGGGGTGGTCTAGGGGGTGGTCTAGGGGTAGTCTAGGGGGTGGTCTAGGGGTAGTCTAGGGGTAGTCTGGTGGGTAGTCTAGGGGGTGGTCTAGGGGCTGGTCTAGGGGGTGGTCTAGGGGGTAGTCTAGGGGGTGGTCTAGGGGTTAGTCTAGGGGTGGTCTAGGGGGTAGTCTAGGGGGTGGTCTAGGGGTAATCTAGGGGTGGTCTAGGGGTAGTGTAGGGGTAGTCTAGGGGGTGGTCTAGGGGTAGTCTAGGGGTAGTCTAGGGGTAGTCTAGGAGTAGTCTAGGGGGTGGTCTAGGGGTGGTCTAGGGGGTAGCCTAGGGGGTGGTCAAGGGGATAGTCTAGGGGGTAGTCTAGGGGTAGTCTAGGGGTGGTCTAGGGGGTGGTCTAGGGGGTGGTCTAGGGGGTGGTCTAGGGGTAGTCTAGGGGGTAGTCTAGAGGTAGTCTAGGGGGTAGTCTAGAGGTAATCTAGGGGGTGGTCTAGGGGTAGTCTAGGGGGGTAGTCTAGGGGGTGGTCTAGGGGTAGTCTAGGGGGTAGTTAAGGGGGTAGTCTAGGGGGTGGTCTAGGGGTAGTCTAGGGGGTGGTCTCGGGGGTAGTCTAGGGGTAGTCTAGGGGGGTAGTCTAGGGGGTATTCTAGGGGGTAGCCTAGGGGGTGGCCTAGGGGGTGGTCTAGGGGGTAGTCTAGGGGTAGTCTAGGGGTGGGTCTAGGGGTAGTCTAGGGGGTAGCCTAGGGGGTAGCCTAGGGGGTAGTCTAGGGGGTATTCGAGGGGGTAGTTTAGGGGTAGCCGATGAGTGGTCTAGGGGTAGTCTAGGGGGTGGTCTAGGGGGTGGTCTAGGGGTAGTCTAGGGGGTGGTCTAGGGGTAGTCTAGGGGTAGTCTGGTGGGTAGTCTAGGGGGTGGTCTAGGGGCTGGTCTAGGGGGTGGTCTAGGGGGTAGTCTAGGGGGTGGTCTAGGGGTTAGTCTAGGGGTGGTCTAGGGGGTAGTCTAGGGGGTGGTCTAGGGGTAATCTAGGGGTGGTCTAGGGGTAGTGTAGGGGTAGTCTAGGGGGTGGTCTAGGGGTAGTCTAGGGGTAGTCTAGGGGTAGTCTAGGAGTAGTCTAGGGGGTGGTCTAGGGGTGGTCTAGGGGGTAGCCTAGGGGGTGGTCAAGGGGATAGTCTAGGGGGTAGTCTAGGGGTAGTCTAGGGGTGGTCTAGGGGGTGGTCTAGGGGGTGGTCTAGGGGGTGGTCTAGGGGTAGTCTAGGGGGTAGTCTAGAGGTAGTCTAGGGGGTAGTCTAGAGGTAATCTAGGGGGTGGTCTAGGGGTAGTCTAGGGGGGTAGTCTAGGGGGTGGTCTAGGGGTAGTCTAGGGGGTAGTTAAGGGGGTAGTCTAGGGGGTGGTCTAGGGGTAGTCTAGGGGGTGGTCTAGGGGGTAGTCTAGGGGTAGTCTAGGGGGGTAGTCTAGGGGGTATTCTAGGGGGTAGCCTAGGGGGTGGCCTAGGGGGTGGTCTAGGGGGGTAGTCTAGGGGTAGTCTAGGGGTGGTCTAGGGGTAGTCTAGGGGGTAGCCTAGGGGGTAGCCTAGGGGGTAGTCTAGGGGGTATTCGAGGGGGTAGTTTAGGGGTAGCCGATGAGTGGTCTAGGGGTAGTCTAGGGGGTAGTCTAGGGGGTGGTCTAGGGATAGTCTAGGGGGTAGGCTAGGGGTAGGCTAGGGGTAGTCTAGGGGTAGTCTAAGGGGTAGTCTAGGGGTAGTCTAGGGGGTAGTCTAGGGGGTAGTCTAGGGGGTAGTCTAGGGGTAGTCTAGGGGGTGGTCTAGGGGTAGTCTTGTGGGTAGTCTAGGGGTAGTCTAGGGGGTAGTCTAGGGGGTAGTCTGGGGGGTAGTCTAGGGGTAGTCTAGGGGTAGTCTAGGGGGCAGTCTAGGGGGTAGTCTAGGGGGTAGTCCTAGGGGGTAGTCTAGGGGTAGTCTGGTGGGTAGTCTGGTGGGTAGTCTAGGGGGTAGTCTAGGGGGTAGTCTGGGGGTAGTCTAGGGGGTAGTCTAGGGGTAGTCTAGGGGGTAGTCTAGGGGGTAGTCTAGGGGTAGTCTAGGGGTAGTCTGGTGGGTAGTCTGGTGGGTTGTCTGGTGGGTAGTCTAGGGGTATTCTGGGGGGCAGTCTTGGGGTAGTCTAGGGGTGGTCTTGGGGTAGTCTAGGGGTTGTCTAGGGGGTAGTCTAGGGGGTGGTCTGGGAGTAGTCTATGGGGTAGTCTAGGGGGTAGTCTAGGGGGTAGTCTAGTCTAGGGGGTAGTCTAGGGGTAGTCTAGGGGTTGGTCTAGGGGGTAGTCTAGGGGGTAGTCTAGGGGTAGTCTAGGGGGTAGTCTAGGGGTAGTCTAGGGGGTAGTCTAGGGGTAGTCTAGGGGTAGTCTAGGGGTAGTCTGGTTGGTAGTCTAGGGGTAGTCTAGGGGGTAGTCTAGGGGGTAGTCTAGGGAGTAGTCTAGGGGTAGTCTGGGGGTAGTCTGGGGGTAGTCTGGGGGTAGTCTGGGGGTCACCACGGAGGTCACAACGAGGTCACAACGAGGTCACCACGGAGGTCACCACGGGGGTCACCACGAGATCTCCCCCTCATCCCCTCTATGTCTCCCCCCACCACCCTCCCCCCCCCCACCATCCTCCCCCCACCCACCACCCCCCCCACCACCCTCCCTCCACCACCCACCCTCCCCCCACCACCACCCCGCCCACCACCCTCCCCCCACCAGCGTCGGAGGACGAGGACAAGGACGAGGATCAGCGAGCGCCGCTGTACAAAAGCGTGGAGATCAACGGTGCCTCTGTGTCTCCCCCCACCACCCTCCCCCCACCACCCTCCCCCCACCACCCTCCCCCCACCACCCTCCCCCCACCACCCTCCCCCCACCCTCCCCCCCACCACCACCTCCCCCCACCAGCGTCGGAGGACGAGGACAAGGACGAGGATCAGCGAGCGCCGCTGTACAAGAGCGTGGAGATCAACGGTGCCTCTGTGTCTCCCCCCACCACCCTCCCCCCACCACCCTCCCCCCACCACCCTCCCCCCACCACCCTCCCCCCACCCTCCCCCCCACCACCACCTCCCCCCACCAGCGTCGGAGGACGAGGACAAGGACGAGGATCAGCGAGCGCCGCTGTACAAGAGCGTGGAGATCAACGGTGCCTCTGTGTCTCCCCCCACTACCCTCCCCCCACCACCACCTCCCCCCACCACCTTCCCCCCACCACCTTCCCCCCACCACCCTCCCCCCACCCTCCCCCCCACCACCACCTCCCCCCACCAGCGTCGGAGGACGAGGACAAGGACGAGGATCAGCGAGCGCCGCTGTACAAGAGCGTGGAGATCAACGGTGCCTCTGTGTCTCCCCCCACTACCCTCCCCCCACCACCACCTCCCCCCACCACCACCTCCCCCCACCAGCGTCGGAGGACGAGGACAAGGACGAGGATCAGCGAGCGCCGCTGTACAAGAGCGTGGAGATCAACGGTGCCTCTGTGCGCATGAAGTGGTGCAGCACGTGCCACTTCTACCGCCCACCACGCTGCTCACACTGCAGCGTCTGCGACAACTGCGTGGAGGTGGCCGCACCGCGTCACACCGCGTCACACCGCGTCACACCACGTCACACCGAGTCACACCACACCACGTCACACCACGTCACACCGAGTCACACCACACCACGTCACACCGTGTCACACCGCGTCACACCACGTCACACCACGTCACACTGCACCGCGTCACACCGCGTCACACCACGTCACACCGAGTCACACCACACCACGTCACACCACGTCACACCGAGTCACACCACACCACGTCACACCGTGTCACACTGCGTCACACCGCGTCACACCACACCACGTCACACCGCGTCACACCGAGTCACACCACACCACGTCACACCGTGTCACACCGCGTCACACCGCGTCACACCACGTCACACCACACCGCGTCACACCGCGTCACGTCACATCACACCGCACCGCCAGCACCGCTAGCACAGCCCAGCCTAGCCTAGCCCAGCCACCCACCCAGCCACCCACCCAGCCACCCACCCACTCACCCACCCACCCACCCACTCACCCACCCACCCACCCAGCCACCCACCCACCCAGCCACCCACCCACCCAGCCACCCACCCAGCCACCCACCCAGCCACCCAGCCACCCACCCAGCCACCCACCCACCTAGCCACCCACCCACCCACCCAGCCACCCACCCACCCAGCCACCCACCCACCCACGCACCCACCCACCCAGCCACCCAGCCACCCACTCAGCCACCCACCCAGCCACCCACCCACCCAGCCACCCACCCAGCCACCCACCCAGCCACCCAGCCACCCACCCAGCCACCCACCCACCCAGCCACCCACCCACCCACCCAGCCACCCACCCAACCACCCACCCACCCACCCACTCACCCACCCACCCACCCAGCCACCTACCCACCCACCCAGCCACCCACCCAGCCACCCAGCCACCCACCCAGCCACCCACCCACCCAGCCACCCACCCACCCAGCCACCCACCCAGCCACCCACCCACGCACCCACCCACCCAGCCACCCACCCACCCAGCCACCCACCCACCCAGCCACCCACCCAGCCACCCAGCCACCCACCCACCCACCCAGCCACCCACGCACCCACGCACCCACCCACCCAGCCACCCACCCAGCCACCCACCCAGCCACCCACCCAGCCACCCAGCCACCCACCCAGCCACCCACCCACCCAGCCACCCACCCACCCAGCCACCCAGCCACCCACCCAGCCACCCACCCACCCAGCCACCCACCCACCCACCCAGCCACCCACCCAGCCACCCAGCCACCCACCCACCCAGCCACCCACCCAGCCACCCACCCAGCCACCCACCCACCCAGCCACCCACCCACCCAGCCACCCACCCAGCCACCCAGCCACCCAGCCACCCACCCAGCCACCCAGCCACACACCCACCCACGCACCCACCCACCCACCCAGCCACCCACCCAGCCACCCACCCAGCCACCCACCAGCCACCCAGCCACCCAGCCACCACCCAGCCCACCCACCCACCCACCCAGCCCACCCACCCACTCCAGCCACCCACCCACCCACCACCACCCAGCCATCCACCCACCCACCCACCACCCACCCAGCACCCCCACCCACCCACCCACCCACCCACCAGCACCCACCCACCCAGCCACCCACCCAGCCACCCACCACCCACCCACCCACCCAGCCACCCACCCACTCACCCACCACCCACCACCCACCCTCACCCACCCACCCACCCACCCAGCCACCCACCCACCATCCACCCACAGCCACCCAGCCACCTATCCCACCCAGTCCACCCAGCCACCAGCCCACCCACCCAGCCACCCACACCACCCAGCACCCACCCACCCAGCCCCCACCCACCCAGCGCACCCCACCCAGCCCCACCCACCACCCACCCCACACACCCAGCCACCCACCCAGCCACCCACCCACCCACCCAGCCACCCACCCACCCACCCACCCACCCATGCCACCCACCCAGCCACCACCACCACCCACCCAGCCACCCACCCAGCCACCCACCCACCCAGCCACCCACCCACCCAGCCACCCACCCACCCACCCAGCCACCCAGCCACCCACCCACTCACCCACCCACCCACTCACCCACCCAACCAGCCACCCACCCACCCACCCAGCCACCCAGCCACCCACCCATCCACCCACCCAGCCACCCACCCACCCAGCCACCCACCCAGCCACCCAGCCACCCACCCAGCCACCCAGCCACCACCCACCCAGCCACCCACCCACCCAGCCACCCACCCAGCCAGCCACCCACCCAGCCAGCCACCCACCCAGCCACCCACCCACCCAGCCACCCACCCACCCAGCCACCCACCCAGCCACCCACCCACCAGCCACCCACCCACCCAGCGACCCACCCAGCCAGCCACCCACCCAGCCACAGAGCCACCCACCCAGCCAACCACCCAGCCACCCAGGACCCACCCAGCCACCCAGGACCCACCCAGCCACCCACCCACCCAGCCACCCACCCAGCCACCCAGCCACCCACCCACCCAGCCACCCACCCAGCCACTCAGCCACCCAGCCACCCAGCCAGCCACCCACCCAGCCAGCCACCCACCCACCCAGCCACCCACCCAGCCACCCACCCAGCCACCTAGCCACCCACCCAGCCACCCACCCAGCCACCCAGCCACCCATCCACCCACCCACCCAGCCACCCACCCACCCACCCAGCCACCCGTCCACCCACCCAGCCACCCACCCAGCCACCCAGCCACCCAGCCACCCACCCACCCAGCCACCCACCCACCCAGCCACCCATCCACCCATCCACCCACCCAACCACCCACCCAGCCACCCACCCAGCCATCCACCCACCCAGCCAGCCACCCACCCATCCAGCCACCCACCCACCCAGCCACCCACCCACCCAGCCACCCATCCACCCAGCCACCCACCCATCCAGCCACCCACCAGCCCAGCCACCCTTGGTGTCTCTCCCGTCCCCCACGTGTCTCCCCCGTGTCTCCCCCCGTGTCTCCCCCGTGTCTCCCCCCGTGTCTCCCCCCGTGCCTCTCCCCGTGTCTCCCCCCGTGTCTCCCCCCGTGTCTCCCCCCGTGTCTCCCCCGTGTCTCCCCCGTGTCTCCCCCCGTGTCTCCCACGTGTCTCCCCGTGTCTCTCGCCCGTGTCTCTCTCTCCCCCCCAATGTATCTCCCTCCCCCCTTCAACGTATCTCCCCTCCCCCCTTCAACGTATCTCCCTCCCCCCCTCCCCCCTCAACGTATCTCCCCCCCCCTTCAACGTATCTCCCTCCCCCCCCTCAAAGTATCTCCCTCCCCTTCAACGTATCTCCCTCCCCCCTTCAACGTATCTCTCTCCCCTTTCAACATATCTCCCTCCCCCCCTTCAATGTATCTCCCTCCCCCCTTCAACGTATCTCTCTCCCCCTTCAACGTATCTCCCTCCCCCCCTTCAACGTATCTCCCTCCCCCTCAACGTATCTCCCTCCTCCCTTCAACGTATCTCCCTCCTCCCTTCAACGTATCTCCCTCCCCCCTTCAACGTATCTCCCTCCCCCCCTTCAACGTATCTCTCTCCCCCCTTCAACGTATCTCCCTCCCCTTCAACGTATCTCCCTCCCCCTCAACGTATCTCTCTCCCCTTTCAACGTATCTCCCTCCTCCCTTCAACGTATCTCCCTCTCCCCCTTCAACGTATCTTTCTCCCCCCTTCAACGTATCTCCCTCTCCCTCTTCAACGTATCTCTCTACCTTCAACGTATCTCTCTCCCCCCTTCAACGTATCTCCCTCCCTCCCCCTTCAACGTATCTCCTCCCCTCCTTCAACGTATCTCTCTCCCCCCTTCAACATATCTCCCTCCCCTTTCAACGTATCTCCCTCCCCCCTTCAACGTATCTCTCTCCCCCCTTCAACGTATCTCTCTCCCCCCCTTCAACGTATCTCCCTCCCTCCTTCAACGTATCTCTCTCCCCCTTCAACGTATCTCTCTCCCCCCTTCAACGTATCTCTCTCCCCCCCCTTCAACGTATCTCCCTCCACCTTCAACGTATCTCCCCCTCCCCTTCAACTTATCTCCCTCCCTCCCCCCTTCAACGTATCTCCCTCCCCCTTCAACATATGTCCCTCCCCCTTCCTTCAACGTATCTCCTTCCCCCTTCCTTCAACGTATCTCCCTCCCCCTTCCTTCAACGTATCTCCCTCCCCCCTTCAACGTATCTCCCTCCCCCTTCAACGTATCTCCCCCTCCCCTTCAACGTATCTCCCTCCCCCCTTCAACGTATCTCCCTCCCCCTTCAACGTATCTCTCTCCCCCTTCAACGTATCTCTCTCCCCCCCTTGAACGTATCTCCCTCTCCCTTCAACGTATCTCTCCCCTTTCAACGTATCTCTCTCCCCCCTTCAATGTATATCCCTCCCCCCCTTCAATGTATCTCTCCCCTTTCAACGTATCTCTCTCCCCCCTTCAACGTATCTCCCTCCCCCCCTTCAACTTATCTCCCTCCCCTCCCCCCTTCAACATATCTCCCTCCCCCTTCAACATATCTCCCTCCCCTCCCCTCTCCCCGTATCTCCGCCAGGACTTTGACCACCATTGCCCGTGGGTCAACAACTGCATTGGCCGCCGAAACTACCGCTACTTCTTCCTGTTCCTGCTCTCGCTCCTTCAACGTATCTCTCTCCCCCTTCCCCTTCAACGTATCTCCCTCTCCCCCTTCAACGTATCTCTCTCCCTTCAACGTATCTCTCTCCCCCCCCTTCAACGTATCTCTCTCCCCCTTCCTTCAACGTATCTCCCTCTCCCCCTTCAACGTATCTCCCTCCCCTTCAACGTATCTCTCTACCCCCTTCAACGTATCTCTCTCCCCCCTTCAACGTATCTCCCTCCCCTTCAACATATCTCCCTCCCTCCCTTCAACGTATCTCTCTCCCCCCTTCAACGTATCTCTCTCCCCCCTTCAACGTATCTCCCTCCCCTTCAACGTATCTCCCTCCCCCCTTCAACGTATCTCCCTTCCCTTTCAACATATCTCT